ATTTCCCCATTTTAAAATATTTAGGTGGCGACTCTGTATCTGGCAAAGCAGTCCATGTTTGGCACTACTTTTTCAAAAATCTGTTTCTCAAAACGATTTGCCAGATTTGGACTCTTTGGTTCAGATTAAGAACCGTGACACAAATCGAGTCCGAACTGTAGCATGAGGCCCACGCGGGCTCGTCTACAAGTGGCAATGCCAGGACCTAGAATGATGGCCCCAGCACCGATGGACAGAGAGCTAGCAAGATTTACTACTACCCCATTGTCCCCAGAAATCGAGAGCATGCCACTCCCTGTTGGATTCCACCAACCTAAGTTCACACTGTACGATGGCAAAATGGATCAGTACATGCACGTGAGTCATGACTGGCAAGTAATGGCTCGCCACCGGCGCAATGATGCCTTGCTGTGTCTCATATTCCCTACAAGTTTGGGAGAACTAGGCCTGAAGTGGTTCAAAAGACTCCCGAAGGGGAGCATCAAGGGGCGACAACGACTAGCAGAGGTCTTTGTTACTAGATTCAAAACCAACACTCAAACACCGAAGGAAGTTGGGCACCTCCTGAGCGTCAAGATTGAATCTGGAGGTTCTTTGAAGGCATACAATTCCAAGTATTGGGAAACTTACAATGAGATCCTCGATTGCCCCACCAATCTGGTGGTCGCACAATACAAACGAGGTCTCCCAGTCGGACATAGGCTGGGAGACTCGCTTACGGTGGACCAACCCACAACCATGGAGTCCTTGACACATTAGATCGACGAACATATCCGTGTAGAAGATGATGCCACCACCGCCATCGCAACCAAGATGGAAAATCTGGTTGCGATAGACAGAAGAGTGGCTGGGAAGGTTCACTCAGTGGGGCAGAAGGACAACCGCCCTAATGACCGAGCTGGAGACCAACATCACGGTTTAAACCGCACTGATAGAAGCAAAAGTCGTGGAAATGACTGAGCTAATGCTCTTCGTAATGAAGAGGAAGATGCCAAGAGGTAGTTGAAAGCATGAACTAGCATCACCACTGTCTTTAAGATCCCAATTTACAGCATCCTAAATGATATCCGAGGTGAGCCCTACGTGCGTTGGCTGGCCAAATTGGGAGACGCACAGAGGGGCTTCAACTCGAGGTATCGTTGCACGTTCTATGAAGAAAGGGGGCACCGAATGGAGGACTGTGTGCCGCTCAAACAACATTTGGAGGAGCTGGTGGGGGCTGGGCATCTAGACCAATACATCAACAGGGGTATGAGGGCCGCTCCACAAGGACAGGCCGAGCCAAATGGCCTTGCTGTCCTGGATGCAGCACCCCAGGGCGTAATCAATGTCATTCACGGCATCATCGAACTAATGCGTGTTTGCGAGTTGAGGTGGATGGTCAAGAAGACCGAGCACATGAGGGAAGTGTTCTCTATTCAACCTGCCATGAAAAAGAAAAGACCGAGGTAAAAGACATGTTTACTTTTTCAAGCAAGGACTTTGAGAGAATTCAAACGCCTCATAATGATGCCTTAGTGGTGACCCTTCGCATCAAGGACTTCGATATCAAAAGAATTCTAATTGACCAGGGGAGCTTGGTCGAGATCATATATTACGACGCGTTCAAACAAATGAAGTTGGAGGACAAAGACTTGGCTCCAACAACGTCCCCTTTGGTAAGCTTCAACTCTCAACCCGAATGGCCAATCGGAAACATTATATTGCGGTCAAAGCTGGGTCAGTCACAAAACAAGTGAAATTTTGGGTGCTTAAGGTCCCATTAACCTATGACTTAATCCTGGGAAGGGTCTGGTTGCAAGTCATGCAGGCAGTAACATCGACTTATCACCAAGTCCTGCGCTTTCCAATGCTAGCCAGACAAATAGAAGAGGTTCGAGAGGACCAAGTAATGGAAAAATAGTGCTTTGTCACAATAAATGCCAGTCGAGCTGCCAAAGGCTTTGTTCAAATGATAGAAGGACCAGAAGAGAAAGAAATCTTGGAAGTCGTGGGAGGACAAGTCGAAGAGAAATCGGCTGAAGATTTGGTGGAAGTGCGTGTTGATAAGAATGATCCAAATAAGTTCTTTCTTTTGGGATCATCTTTCTCTAACGCCGAGCGGCTCGATTATATCAACTTTTTGGTTTATAACATTGAGGCCTTTGCGTGGACACTGTACGATATGCCTGGTGTCGACCCTAGCTTCATTTGCCACTAGTTGAATGTCTTTCCAAATGCACGATCAATCATCCAGAGAATGCGGCGCTCGGCCTTACACTATGCCGAGATAGTAGCAGAGGAGGTCAAGAACTTGTTGGAAGCTGGGGTGATACAAGAAGTGCAGTACCCCAGATGGATCTCTAACACGGTGGTAGTGCCAAAGAAGAATGGTAAATGGTAGGTGTGGGTCGATTATAAGTCAATCAAACGTGCGGGCCCAAAGGACAGCTTCCCCCTCTCGAGAATAGACCGGTTAGTGGATCTAATCACTGGCCATCAGAGGTTTAGCTTCCTAGATGTATATCGTGACTACCACCAGATCGCCATGTACAAACCAGACTGAGAGATCACTTCGTTCACCACTCCAAGATGCTTGTACTGCTACATGGTCATGCCGTTCGGTCTCAAAAATGCCGAGGCAACTTTTCAGAGGATGGCAACCAAAATATTCGCTCCTCTTCTTGGCCGCACTATGGAGCCTTACATCGATGACGTGATGGCGAAGAGCAAAGACAAGTCTCAACACCTTGCCGACCTAGCAGAAATGTTTGCCATACTCAAACATCACAAGCTGCGTTTAAATGCCTCCAAGTGTGCATTCGGAGTTGGAACCGGGAAATTTCTAGGTTTTTTGGTCATAAACCAAGGAATCGAGGCTGACGCTTCACAGCCCAAGGCAATACAAGAACTGGAGTGGCCAAGCTCCACGAAATACGTGCAACATCTCACTGGAACAGCAGTCGCTCTGAACCAATTTATTAGCCGGTCTTCAGATCGTTCCAGGCCCTTCTTCAAAATTTTGAGGGCCACGTTCTTTTTGGATGATGAGTGCGACAGTGCACTAGCGAATCTAAAAGTATTCCTTTCCTCTGCCCTAATCTTGGTCACACCAAAATCGGGCAAAGAACTGTATTTCTATTTGGCAGTTTCTCAGCAAGCGGTGAGCGCCGTCCTTATCCGTGTTGAGGGAATCCAGCACCTCCCCATTTTCTACGTTATCAAGACACTGCTCTCGGCCGAATCAAGATATATGCCGCTAGAAAAATTGGCTCTGGCTCTTATGATGGCTTCCACAATGCAGGCGCACGATTTTCATGCCCACACGATAGTCTTGCTAACCGAATTTCCACTCAAGGTGCTCTTTAAAATGGCAGATTTCACTGGCATAAGTGGGTCATGGCATTGGGGCAATACGATATCAAATTCCAGCTGTGCGCTACTATCAAAGCTCAAGCTCCTGCCGAATTAGTGGCGGAATTTGTCCGTGGAATACAACCTCTTTACCCTGTCGATTTGGCTAGCGCAGACTTGGCCCGACCCACGGCTCAGATAGCAGAAAGAAGCGGTGGATAACAAGTAGCAGAACGATAAGAGAAAGTTGAGCAAGAAATGGAAGAATCGGCCGATTTACCAAAATACAAGCTCGACGGAGATGTAGAAAGAGACCAGAATGAGCCGACCAATACCTTGAAGTGGAGGAACTCTCAAAATCCCTCTGACTGCTGGAAGTTGTTCATTGGCGAGACGTGGAAACTCTTCGTCGATGGGGCCTCCAATAGACATGGCACTAGGCTAGGGGTCGTGTTGACATCCCCGGATGGGCTAACCATTGTGCATGTGATCATACTCGGGTTCCTAGCATCCAACAATGAGGCGGCATATGAAGCCCTCCTCACCGGATTGAATAGCGCTTTGAGAATGAAGGCATCAGAACTTATGGTATTTAGCGACTCCAAGCTAGTTGTCAATCAGGTCTTTGGGGAATATGAGGCCAGGGATGAAGGATGGCTAAGTATCAAGCGATGGTAGGCACAGTAATCAAAAAGTTTCCCGCAATAAGAATGGAACAAATTAACCGCAAAAAAAAAAATGCAGCCGACGAATTGGCCGGCCTAGCGTCTATGAAAACGACTTTTCCCAATCCTTTGATGATAGAATTCTTACCCTGACCGAGCATTGAGGAACCGGAGGTGCCCGAAGTACTCTGCACCGACTTGGGACCATGCTGGATGGATCCTATTATCAACTTCCTGAAGGATTGAATTCTACCCACTGAAAAGAAAGAGGCCAACAAGATAAGGGCCAAGTCAGAACAGTTTTGGCTCTCTTCATCTGGCGCCTTGTACAAGAAATCTTTCACTGGGCCATACCTGAAGTGTGTCCACCCCAGCAAGGTTGAAGCTTTCCTCTTCGAGATTTATGAAGGCATCTGCGGAAGCCATATTAGGGGCAGATCTTTGGCTTACCGAGCAACTTCCTAGTGGTTATTGGTGGCCGTGCATGCAGGCCGATGCATAGAAATATGTTCACAAATGCCAAAAATGTAGAACATTCACTCACCAGATTCACCAACCGAACATAGAGTTGCTCCTCCTTACAAGTCCTGGGCCATTTGCGCTTTGTGGGTAGACATTGTAGGATCTCTTCTAGCAGCTCCAGGCAATAGCAAATTTTTCATCGCTACTACCAACTACTTCACCAAGTGGGTAGAGGCCGAGCCATTGGCCACCATCAAGGAAAAAGATGTTAAAAATTTTGTCTGGAAAAATGTCATCAGCCGCTTCGGCATCCCAAAAGCTCTCATTTCAGATAATGGCACTCGGTTCGCTGCAAAACTCTTTTGCGGGTTTTGCGAGGATTTATAGAGTGAGTTCTACAATTCTACACCGGCCTACCCCCAATCAAATGGTCAAGCCGCAGCTTCAAACAAAACCATCTTGGACGGGCTGAAGAAGCGATTGGAGAAGGCTAAAGAGAAGTGGGCTGAGGAACTTCCCAATGTACTCTAGGCATACCACACTACACCAAGGCGCTCAACAGGGGAAACTCTATTTACCTTGGCTTACGGCATGGAGGCAGTCATACCATTGGAGATTGGCATGGCAACCATCCGATCTGAAAGTTCTTAGCCAGACTTGAACAATGACGCTGTAGCCCTGGAGCTTGACCTGGCTGAAGAAAGAAGGGAACGTGCTCTAATCCACATAGCAACTTACCAACAAGTGGTCTCCAAGAAATATAACAAGACCGTGCATCCTAGGCTATTCAAGGTTAGAGACTGAGTCTTGAGGAAGGTAATGGGAAGCATAGTGATCCTTGGCGAGAGAAAATTAGGAGCAAATTGGAAGGGGCCATACAAGATAGCTGGCCTTACAGGCAAAGGGGCGTACCACCAGGAAGACTTAGATAGCAAAGCTATCCCCAAACAATGGAATGTGGCCAATCTTAAGATATTTTACTTTTGAAATGTAATCTTTTCTACTTCTTTGCTTCTTGTAACTTGACCTTTTGGCATTGGGTGTAATCGGTAACATGTAGTAGAAGATGACCCCTTCTTTCTCTTATGTTCGCGTTTCGACACGGAAATGTTACAAAGACATTAAGTTGCTATGAGTACCAGAGGCAAGTGTTCAAAACCAGGATAACTTTTGTAGAATGAGCAATTATCCGATTATGGGTTGATTTTTCTTGTTGAACTGAGTTGAACTTCCTCAACCGCCTAGCAGTTAGTGTTTTGCCCAACTTGTATTTAAGCCGAGCCAATTTTGTTCATAAAT